GCATCCCCCACCATCCTGCTGTGCCCAGGATCCATCAGAGCATCCCCCACCATCCTGCTGTGCCCCCCACCCAGCCCCAGCCTGCACATGCACCAACAAAGACAGGAGCTCCAAGGCTGGAGCTCAGCATGTTCCAGTCACATCATGGAATATCCATGGGGATGGTACAGGGAGGAAAAAGAAAATCGACTCCAGAATAAAATTTTCCAACCAAGCTGTAACTTCCTTCCTAATCCAAACCAGCCTCATGTCTATACTGTGTATAGATTTGGGGAAATCACTACAAAGATTCTGGGGAAAAAAATCAACTAAATCAATTTTAGTGCTTTGCCAGCCTGTTACCAGCAAGGTCAAGGAGATATTACTGGTTCAGTGAATCCCAGAACTAAATATGGTGGGGGTTCTGCAGCGTGGATCACACATCTGTGCAGGGCTGAAACTGGGGGAGACCCTCACAGTGCAGTGGGAAGCAGGAAATGGTCACCCAAGAGCCTCAGTGCCACTGCTGAGCTTTCTGTCATAGTGCAGGTGAAGAAAGCCCTAGAAATGGCCTCAATTGAAGCCCCTCCTACCCCAGGTGTCCCAGCAGTGTCCCCTCCTGCTCCTCAGGTGCTCAGGGCATGGGAATTACCTTTCTGGCGTTGTCTGCATCGGATGCACTGTCTTTACAGGTCCTGTTCTCATCCACAGGGAACACGGCTGCCTGCTCTGCTCCATGATCATCCTCCTCCTCCAACTCATCAGAGTCCTCCTCTTCAGAGTCCACCTCTATGCTTTCCCCGTTCACATGAGGGCTGGCATCACCCAGGTCTTTGTCACTCTGAAAGTTGTGACACGTGAGCCACAAGGACAATGTCAATTCCTGGGAGAGGGCAGATGGATCCAGCCCAGACCTGCTCTGTGCTGGGAGCTCCAGAGCTGCCAGGGGAAAGCTGGCTCTGTGTCCCTCCAAAGCCCAGCCTGGGAGCCTGCCATGTGTCACCTAAGCCTGCTGGATCTGGGGACTGAGGGGCCAGGAGGAGTCATTCCAGACTCACAAGGCTGGAATGGCCCCCCATTAGGGGGAGGAGGGCCTGATTCAAACACTAGGGGCAGCTCCACCAAGGGGCAGAAAGGTTTCCAGGGAAAGGAAAGGGAAATTATATCACATCAGGATTTTCATACTGCTCCATGAAGGCCCAGCACTATTCTTCCTGAATTCAAAGACCAAAATTTCAGGGCAGGGGTTGCAGCAAAAGCAGATTTTGATCAGGAGTGAGTCGGTGTCTAAACCTTTTGTAAGTAACCAAGTGTTTTGCTGTGCAGCCTCAGGCAGCAACAGGAGACCTTGAGGACACTGAAACAAAAAGGTTACCACCTGGGGCACGCTTGGAATCTCTCCAGTTCCCCAGGATTCATGGGACATTCACCGGAAAAACTTTGTTTAAGGCCTGGTACCTGAACAGCCACTCTCAAAGTGCCATTTCCAAAGCAGGCAGGAAGCTGCTGCCACAGAGAAGATGTAGACTCAGAAGGGAAGATGATCCCAACAAGCCACCACATCCCTGCACCTCTGCATGGGGTTGGTGTGCCAAGACAAGGGACGTGTGTGTGACAACAAACGTGTGCAGGGGGCCCAGCGCTGCCCTTACCTTGGCACCTGCAGAGGAATGAGTTATGCTCTTAAACATCTCAATCATTGTTCTCTGTTTTAACACTTTGGTCTTTTTCTTGGGAACCAGGCTATAGGTTCCCATTCTCCGCTTTTTCTTCCGAGATACTGCAGCAGCTGAAAAAGAGGAGCAAAAGAGACCCAAAGTTTGCTCAGGAATGAAAAGAAGAAGGGATAGAGAGTAGGGAATGTACTGGAGAGGGGATCTGGATTGACAGGACAAGGGGGAATGGCTTCAAACTGCCAGAGGGCAGGGTTAGATGGGATACTGGGAAGGAATTGTTGGCTGAGAGGGTGGGCAGGCCCTGGCACAGGTTGCCCAGAGAAGCTGTGGCTGCCCCATCCCTGGAAGTGTCCAAGGCCAGGTTGGACGGGGCTTGGAGCAACCTGGGCTAGTGGAAGGTGTCCCTGCCCATGGCAGGGGGTGGAACAGGATGAGCTTTAATGTCCCTTCCAACACAGACCAGTCTGGGTTTCTATGAAATCCCACTCGAGGGCACGATCTGAGGAAAAGGCTTCCCACTCCGACTGCTTTAATTACAAATCAACCAAAAGATGACACACACATATGTGCAAACACACAAACAGCTTCCTGCCAGTGCTGCAAACCCACCCAAACTCTGAGTATCCTCTCCACACTCCTTCTGGCCCCTCCACCACCACACACAGCATCAAATCCCTAAATTAGCCTGTGTTTGGCAGTGCTGCTGATGTCGTAGGAGGCTGAATTGAATCCAACTTGCTCAAATAGATACTGCAAGGCCAACAATACCAACTGACAATGAAAGCAATGGGACAAGAACTGAAGAACACACAGGGAAAAGGTACCTTAAATAAAGAGCTGTTTGCCATTTAACCTCATTTCACACCTACTATGGAAATTTGTTTGATTCCTTTCACTACTTTGATTGGGTCTTAATTTCTTAGGTCTCCCTCTCTGGCCTTCTAATCAAATCAGACAAAGCATCTCCCTGCCTGATGATGTCTTTGGTGAATACACAGCAGAAGGATGTTTGGTGCAGGCTCTTTTAAGAACAGCCAGATTCAGCACCAGCATTAGTGTTTGCACTAATTGCACTATTGTTCCTTGAAAGCATTTCTGCATCTGCCACCATGATGAAATTTCACCAAAAAATCCACAAAGAGACCTCTCAAAAACATCCTGTTAGCCCAATTAATTTTATTTATAAGGCTGCAGTTCTTGGTAAGCAGTTGTGGTGATATTCAAAGTCCTTCAGAATTGATAGAAACTTCTTCAGAATATCACCCAGGAAATAGGGATCAAAGTGACTTCTCTAACAAAAGCTTTTTTAACAGAGGTGCCTGACAGAGCTCAGCTGTCCAGGAGGGACCTGTGCCCCAGGAAGGACTGCAGGGGAAGTGCTCCCTTCACTTGGGCTTCACTTGGGAGGGGATTTCAACAGGGCACTAAAAGAATATCCCCTGTCCAACACCCAAGGGGAGCAGCAGGGATTCTGGGGACACAAGTGTCACCTTTGCAGGGCACTTGCAGAGAGTGAGTAGATGACTGACAAAGTCAGTGGCAGTGACAGGAAAGGGAACCCTGAGTGGGAAAAGGTGCTAACAGAGGTTTTGGTCCTTGTTAACCTCCTCATCTCCCCCCCCACACACATAAGGCTGGGGAGGTGGGAGCTGCTGAGGATTCCAACTCTCTCCTTTTTACCTGTCTGCGACTTCGTGGTGGCCACATAGCTCTGGTTCTGAGGTAGTGACTGGTGAAGGCCCGGGAGAGAGGGCAACGACAACGGCTTCACAAAGTCCAGCATGTTCTCAAACTCCTTCTCCTTGGGTTCTTTTTGATCTCTGCTGTCTCTCCCATCTTTGGGGTCTTTACTTGCGTGCTGGAAAAACCAAATGCAGTTTAATTGAGCCTCTGCATTAAATAAGTAATTAAAAAAAATTAGAATACTGATTTAATTCCTTTCTCTCAACGGCCATTTGAAGGAGGGAGCACACACTCACAGCAGAAGCACACAGCCCCTCCTCCAGCACTTCAGGGTACTCTGCCTAAACACTCCCAGCCTGCTTGAAGTGACTCCCTCACTGGCTGAAGGCTGTGCAGGTGACAAGGCTCAGACACTGCTCACACAGGCCTTTGGTTGGCTCTGGAGGAGACAAACCAATGCAACACATGCACCTATTCCCTGGAACGTGCCCTGTCACCCCAGCCATGCACAGGAACAGCCCTGCAGAGCTGTTTTGGAAGAGCAGGCAGGACCAGGAAGGAGCCTTCCTTTAGGACAGCATTTGGCACCATCAGGCCTCAGCACCTCCAGCCCAGCACACAACAAAACACGGGCAAAGAAGCCCTTTGCTTGTCATTGCAGGTCCTTCTCCAGAGACCTGTCCAAGCTCCCTTTAAACCAGGCACTCCCACTCCAGCTGCTACCATCCCAAATCCTAGGCAGGATACAAGCTCCTACTGTACACCAAGGGAATTCTGTAGTTGTTCCTGAAGCCCCTTCCAGGCACTGAGGCAGCTCCAGTTCGAGCTTGTGCTCAGTGCAAAGTCTCATCCTGCACCTTTGGTCATGAAAGGATTGCTCCCACAGCTCCACAGGGAATCATTTAGGTTGCAAAAGACCTTTAAGAACACCAAGTGCAACCATTAACCCAGCACTGTGAAGTCCACCACTAAACCACATCCCCAAGTGTCATTTCTCAGCTTTTGATGGTTCTTCAATGCTTTTTCCTCTAATTTAGGAAAAAAATCCGCTTCCTGAAAGACTGTGTAACTCCATTTTTTGTACCCTAAAAGCCTCAGACAGAGATGCCCAGACTGTATTTGTTTTTCCCTTCTCCACCTGTATTTATTCTTTAAACAGCCATGGCTTGGTTATAATGGTGTTTTTATTCCTGTGCCTTTTGCACCGAGCGTGGCAAAGGCAAGTCAAGGTCAGTGCAAGGCCTCCTGGTCCAGTTCAGTGAAACACTTTCCTGTCACAGCCAAACCATCAGGTACCTGCTGAGAAAGGAAAAGAAATGCAGGCACATGAAACAAAGTGACTTTGTGCCTCCCTCTCACGGCACTGCAGCCACGGGGTGAACAGTGAGCGGGGCAAGAGCTGCCCCTGCTGGGACATTTTACACTGGGTTTGCCCTCAGATTTACTCCACAGGTGATCCAGCTGCATCCATGCAGGAGGCAGGTTTGGAAGAGCTGCTCCAGCAAACCAAGAGCACGGGAAAG